CAGGTTTTCCAGCTACGTCCATGAACATGTTCTTCGACTCTCACCTTGTTTGAAACCCCCGGTTCTCAGTGTCCACCTTCCGTTTTGCCATTTTTGATGGGTATCTGAAAGCTAATGTCACTGTTATGGGAACGACTGCTAGACTGATAAATATTTAAATAAAGCGGCCGACTGCTTGGCGCGTCACCGTTGCATTGTGGGAAATGTAGTTTTGGTGCGTGTAAAAGCTCTGCGGGCTCTCGGCTTGTTGCGGTCCGCGGGCCGGTTCTAATAACAAATCAATATCATCCCAGGGGCCACTGAAAACATTCTCGCGGGCCGGATTTGGCCCGCGGGCCGGCACTTTGACATATGTGAAGTAATGCATTCAGCTCTGGGCAAAGTAGATATGTGCCCAATATGCGCACGTCCAACTTTCAATGAGAGTCACTGTGTAAAGATTTTGAGGCGGGAGCAGGTCACAGGTCAGACGCCGACAACTTGAATTGTCTTGCAAGTGTACCTAATCAAAATTCCGGATGCTGTGTTGCATTGTTGTTACTTTTTGCGCACCCGTTAGCATGATGCAACGCTCTTGGTGTAAGTTTTCACACACTCACGCCGACATAGGACAAGCGCAGGTTATTTCACCACACACATACACCCACTCACCAACACACACACCGACACACACACACACACACACGCGCACGCACATGTCGAACTAATGACAACCCAGGATGACACAGGCGTCTCTTTTCGAAACGGCGAGAGGCCAAAAAGAGGATGTGGCTAACTTCGCATCTATCTTCCTTATCTCCTGTCCTCCTCATCTATAACTTCTTCTTCTTCTTCTTCTTCTTTGTTTGTGTTTCTGTGGCGTCAGCGGTGGCGATGTTGATTGACCGATGATCTGACGCAGGAAAAAGACATCAGGTGAGAGAAAGTAATGAGTAACTATAGTATTTTATCAAGGAATAACACTGATAGTAGTATGTGTATATCTCTTGTCACAGCAGATGCAATCGTACTAGAAGTATTAATAATAATCATGTCTACCTAATGTCAAGGAGTACAGGTAGTTGAGTGGAACACTTTTCAACTGAACAAATGAATTGGTTTGTCTGGTACTGTTTTTTTTTTTGTTTTATTTTTTTAGCAACAGAGATTTCTTTGTAAGTTGGAGTGAGTCCTCATCGCCATGCTATTAACTAACTGAATGAGGGTGTCCCACAAGGTTCAATTTTAAGTCCACTTCTTTTAATTTTTTTTTTATGCTGCCGCAACATGGCGTCATCAGGAGACACAGTATAAATGTTCACAGTTACGCTGATGATGAAGTTCTACTCATGTAAAAAGTACTACTTAAATTGCGAGCTTGAATTTCTGTGTCAAAAAGTATAAATAATATAAAGTAAACAAGGTAGAAATAAGAGTACATTCTTATAAGTAGTACTTGTAGTTGTTGTGAAGTGTATAACAAATAAAGTGCGTTGTGTGACCGTGTTCCTTGTCCAGACGCCGACCTTGTCTGTGCGCGGCGACTATGGGTTGTGCTTGTTGCAAGCAGAAGAAGTCAGCTAAATTCGAGGCGGCTGCCTTAACCGCCACCTCCGGGGCTGCCAATGCTTCAGTGCAGTCTCCCAGCAACGGCGATGGCGGCTCGTCCGCGGACCCAATACAGGCACGCTACTGTCCAGACCCCACGCAGGTGATACCGGACTTCAACAAGGGATTCTCCAGCGGAGCCATCTTCCCCAACTCCAACACGCAGCACTGGTCCGCCGGAGTCACAAGTAGGGACATTTTCAGATTTTTACCGGAAATAGTGGATTGAAATCACTGGCGGCAGCAGTAGTAATAGTCCGCAGCAATGTATGTTGCGATATGTAACTAATATGTGTCAACAATATGGGGTGTGTGTATATGTGGAAGGAAAGTAGGCTATACAAGCTAGCTAAAACTAAACAAAAGGCTACAAAAGGCTACAAAATCCCGCCTTCCTCGGCGGATATAATAAAAACTCCCAGTGATTGTTCTGTGAGCCTCAGAATAGTCAGTGTTGATTGAGGGCCTTCTTTTGTCCCTCGGGGTGGGGGCGCTACAGGCGGCGGCGTCACACTCTTCATCGCGCTCTATGACTACGACGCTCGCACCGAGGATGACCTCACCTTTCAGAAGGGGGAGAAGTTTCAGATCATCAACAACACGTAAGTCCAAATATTGGGTTTATTCATGTTGCTGTTGTTTGGACTGACCAAAACAAAGTACTTGCAAGATCGCAAATCGGCCGCCCGATAGGTCATTAATGGAGGACATAATCAATTTATGATTTGCTGGTGTTGATTACAGAGAGGGTGACTGGTGGGAGGCTCGTTCTTTGGACACGGGCAATGCCGGGTACATCCCGTCCAATTACGTAGCTCCGGTCGACTCCATACAGGCCGAGGAGTGAGTACGCAAGCACACAAGGATGAGGTGGGGTTTAGTGACCGTGTGTGACCGGATGTTGCTTTTGGCGACAGGTGGTATTTCGGAAAGATGGGGAGGAAGGATGCGGAGAGACAGCTGCTGGGACACGGCAACCAGAGAGGAACTTTTCTCATCCGCGAGAGCGAGACCACCAAAGGTTGGGTGACCACACGCACGTACACACTTGCTCTCGACGGGAGCACATACACCTGCAGATCTTTCTCGACTTGCTTCTAATGTTTGCGTTATTTACTAGCTACATTGGCGGGTCAAAATATTAGGAACAACCGTGAGTGTGTTTCAGTGCAAACTACAGCAGTATTAATAAATGCAACGGTTAAAATTTGATTTGATTTTGATTGCTAACCATTGTGTAATTATTATCAGGGCAGTTACTGCTAAAATAAGATGAAAGTCACAACAATAATTGTCAAGTTCAAGTGTTTTATCCAAGGTTGTTTGTTTGTTTGTTTGGGGTTTTTTTTTCCACTTTTCGGTGAGGGAGGAAAAAAAAATCATATAAAGTCAGTTAGAATTTTGAGGTACACGTTGGTCGCTCTGCTCAGACATATGACATGATTTAGATTTTTTTTTTTTGATCAAGTCTCGTAATTATTAAAAAATATTTTAATTTTTTTCTATGTTCATTTCATTATATTATTTCGGTTTATGTTCCATATCTTTAAACTTTTTATTGTGTTTTTTTTAATTTGTCATTATTTTATTTCTGTTTTGATTTAGATTTAGTTTTGTTTTTTTTTTACTGGATTGATACTGTAGTTTTCGTTCTATTTTTATTCTAGATATGCATTGTACGTGTGTTAAAGAATAATAAAAATACGGCAGAATGTATATATAAAACTCAGTCTTAATCTGAAACTAAATAAATAATCACAAATATAACAAAACACAATTAAGAACCATATAAAATACAGCTTATGTGAACAGACTTAGTCTCTATATTCTAGATATTTTTAAAATTACATTTGATATTTTGTATACAAATAAACCTGTTGAATTAGACATGGTGTCTTTTTTGCGTCCTAGGTGCTTTTTCGCTGTCCATCCGCGACTGGGACGAGAACAAAGGTGACCACGTGAAGCACTATAAGATCCGCAAGCTGGACAACGGAGGCTATTACATCACCACCAGGTCTCAGTTTGACACCGTGCAGCAGCTTGTGGTGCACTACACAGGTACAACTTGCAACTTTTTTGGAATTGTTTAATGAGGATTTTAGTCCACATTCCTTCGATTGTTGCTCTCATTGTTGTCTGTTTGTTCCTCCTGAGGTCAAACTTTGACTTTTAGTGACGTTCATGTGTGCAAAGGTGATTTTTTTTTGGATGGGGGGGGGAAAGGGGGCGGATGACCAAGCAAACATGTTTTGCTTCCTTTTCCCTTCATATGTTTTTTTTTTCCCTACTTCCTGTCTGTTTATCCCATTCCCTGCCCCGGCTCAGAGCGAGCGGCGGGGCTCTGCTGCCGCCTGATCGGCAGCTGCAAGCGCGGCATGCCCAAGCTGGCCGACTTATCGGTGAAGACCAAGGACATGTGGGAGATTCCCCGCGAATCGCTGCAGCTGATTAAAAAGCTGGGCAACGGCCAGTTTGGAGAAGTGTGGATGGGTAGGCCGCAAGG